ACCCTAATCCTGTAGCTTTCCCTTCCTTTCTCACTCAGCAGCAGTTGATATATGCTGACGCTAAACCCTAGGGTTTAGGGTTTAGGGTTTAGGGTTTAGGGTTTGTGTTTAGAGACAAAGAGGCGATGGTTTGGCTGTCTGAACGGCTGCAGTGGGGCGACGAGGGTTTAGGGTTTGTGAGGCGAGGGTTTGAGGCCCTTCGGTTTGATGTTAACAAACAACTCGCTCTTGTAAACCCTAAACCCTAAACCCTAAACCCTAAACCCTAAACCCTAAACCCTAGAAAAACAAAACCAGGCACAGCAGCGCAGCTTCAGGGGGCTCTCTCTCTCACTCTCTCTCTCTCCTTATCTCTAAACCCTAAACCCTAAACTTGTAAACCCTAAACCCTAAACCCTAGGCTTGTAAACCCTAAACCCTAAACCCTAAACCCTAAACCCTCGTGTTTGTCTCAGGGTATCCCCGCTCTTCTACGCAGCGACTATAAATTCTTTTCCTATGCAAACGCCTGCGTCAGTATATAAATATAAATAAAAAAAAAAAATAAATAAATATAAATAAATAAAAATAAAATAAATATAAATAAATATAAATAAATATAAATAAATATAAATAAATATAACTTATGTTTATTTGTATTTATTTATTTATATTATTTTTTTGTATTCATATTCATTTATTTATTTATTTATATTTATATTTATATACTTATATTTATATATTTATATTTATATATTTATATTTATTTATATTATCTTTATTTATTTGTTTATTTATATTTATATTTATTTATATTTGTTTATACTTATATTTGTATTTATATATATTTGTTTATATTTATTTTTTAATTTATTTATTTATTTATTTATATTTATATTTATTTCTTTCTTTTTATTTTTTCCTTTTATTTATATTTATTTATTTATTTATTTTTATTTATTTATATTTATTTATTTATTTATATTTATTTATATTAATTTTTATTTATTTATATTTATTTATTTATATTTATATATATTTGTGTATTTGTTTATTTTTATTTATAAACAAAATAAACAAATAAATAAATAAATAAAAATAAATAAAAATAAACAAAAATAGAAAAAATTAATAAAAACAAATAAAATATAAATAAATACAAACATAAAAAAATATTT